TCCCCCCCCCCCCTCCCCCCCCCCTCCCCCGCCCGGCGCGCGACGCGGAATTCAAATCTTCGACCCGACCGGTCGTATCGGACCGTTTCGACGCGGACGTTCGAGCGCTCCGTCGAGCGCTCGACGAGAGCCGACGACTCGTCCGGAAACGAGCCGGATCGACTTCGATTCGGCCGAGCTCGAGCGTTCCGAAGCGCGGTCGGGACCGCCCCGACCGGCGGTCGAACGCCGCGCGGGGCGCGACGTCGGCGACGACGAGGATGCCCATCTTCGCGAGGAAGTGGAGGCTGAGGTCGTTGTAGGCGTCGCGGAGGATCGACTTCTGGATGAGGAGCACCGTGACGCCCGCCTTCTTGACCTTCTTGCAGAGCCTGCGCGCGGGGCCGCCGTCGCGCCGGCGCGCGCGGCCGGCCGCGGCGCGCCGGCGCGGCGCCCGAGGACGTGCTTCCGCTCCTCGCGGAGGAGGCGGTCCATGGCCGCGTAGTCCGAGACGACGACGCTGTTCTCCATGTCCGTCTTGGGCGCCGAGAGGCAGAACTGGATGAGGCCGATCTTCGCGTTCGCGACGCGCGTCGGCCTGGAAGCGAGGGCGATTCGACGTCGCTTCGACGCGAGCGCTTCGCGCGCGCGCGCGCCGGAAACGGCATCCACGCGTCGAGACCGTTCCGAGAGATGATCGCTCGTCCAAACATCGGCCGAAACGAGTGGACATGGGCCGAGAGGGGAGCCTTGTGACGTCGGGAATGTCGCCCTCTCGTGCCGCCCCGGCGTCGGCCCGCCCGCGGCCTTCTTCGCGCCCTGGGCGAAGACGATGCCGTCGACGAGCTCCGTGTCGTCGACGGTGCCGCCGACCTGCTTGACGATCTTGACGCGGTCGAGGTCGACGGTCGCGGCGGCCGCGGCGTCGACGACTCCGAGCACGGCGTCGACGGCGAGCGGCGCGAGCGCGTCCGAGTTCTGCGCGATGACCTTGGACGAGAGGCACGTCGCGACGGCGTCGACCTGCGCCGGGAACGACCGGTGGACCGGCCCCGTCCGGCGAAGCTTCGCGCCTCTCGAGCTCGGCCGCGTCGACGTCGTTTCGGCCGACGCTCGGACGGATCGCGTCCTCTCCGGCGCGTTCTTTTCGAGAGGTGAAAGACGCGCGTCGACGTCGTGCGAACGTCGCATGGTGAAGTCGCGCGGACGCTCGTCGTGTCCCGCCCGGGCGTCGGCGAGCGTCGCGCGGTCGCCGAGGTCCACGGGCTCGGCGACCTGCGCCGCGCGCGGGCTCGGCGCGCCGCACTCGCGCCGGCGCGCGCGCGCGCGCGCGCGCGGACGCCGCCGGCGACGCGGCGGAGGATCGCGCCGCACTCGGCGTTCGCGCGGACGAACGCCTCGGCGATCGTCGTCGGGTGGAGGCCCTTGGCGAGGAGCTGGTGGCACGCGTCGAGGAGCGCGCCCGCGAGGACGCACACCTGGGCGGCGCGAGGGTGGGCGCGTCCCGGCGTCGGAGCCGCCCGCCTCGGCCGCGCGCCGCTCGATTCGGCTCGCGCCGGACGAGCGATCGTCCCGCGGGGCGCCCCGACGCGGGGCGACCTCGAACCACCCGCGCGCGGCCCCGGCGCGCGCGGACGTCGTCCCGTCGCCCGCTTCGACGTCCTGCGACTTGGAGAGCTCGACGAGCATCTTCGCCGTCGGGTGGCCCACCTCCATCGTCGACAGTATCGTCGCGCCGTCGTTCGTGATGAGCACCTCGCCGTCGCCCTTCTGGATCATCTTGTCCATGCCCCGGGGGCCCAGGGACGTGCGGATGGCGTCGGCGATGGCCTTCGCGGCCATGATGTTGCTGAGGCGCACGTCCTTCTCCTTCTTCAGCCCGCGCTGGCGACT